ATTTACTACTGTTCATTTAATGATGGTTCAAAGTAATGACAGCCTTGGAAAATGTACTTTATTACCTGTAGTTGCACTTACAACTGTTGCACCACCCCTGCAATCATGTGATCACAATTCAGGCACTGGCAACTGGCAACTGGCTTTCACTTATAATGAGTTGCAGCATCCTGTGGACATGTGATCATGATTAGTGATTGGCAAAAAATATCCATTGGGAAACCTGGTTTACTTAACAACCATAGTGATTTGCTTAACCACCACAGTAAAAATGGTCATAAAATCAGGTCTGTCAATGTAATGACTCAACTTATAACCATACTGACTTGAAACCAAAATTCCATATTGGTAGGACTATCTGACAAGGAACTAGGAATGGATGGCCAAAATAGCTTTTTTCAACAAAATAATTCAACATATTTAAAATGCATATAACATACTCTATTGCATTTGACAAGCTAAAAAATGGGTGGTAGAAAAGATTGTGAAAGCAGTAAATAGATTCCAGTATAGTTTACTGGATCTACTATAAAAAAAAACTGGTTTTCACACAAACCAACTAGAACACTTTTGAATTTGCAGATAAATATTTAACAGAAAAGTACTGTGACAGTTCTGCTTCCAATATTTTGTCATATTTTGCTTTGATATATCACATTGTTTTCAAATAGTAAGACTAACTTGTTTCCTAAAGACCAAAAACAAATACATGATTCTTTCCCAAAAGTATTGCTTTTTTCTGGATAAACTTTCTAATGTATTGTCATTTTTTTCTCTCAAAAAGTTTTCCTTGAGTGCAAGAAGACAGAAAAAAGAAAATACGGTAGGCTACTTTTTATACATTCTAGTAAAGAATCTTCAGCATTTAATTCTGACTGATTGGCAAAATGTTTGGACCATGCAAGGGACCTTTTTGACTCATTCCTCTTTAAGCAAGAACCCTGGAAAATTCTCCCATGGTTTGGCCATTATTCGTAATGCTGTGTAACTGTTGGAATAAAATGTTATCTCTTTCCCTTTGCAAGCAAACTATAAGTAAATCCTGAGACTTTTGAATAAGCTCCCCCAGGAATTTACATTTTTGAAGTATCATTCCAATGGGATTTCTCAGGCTCAGTGCACTTTATAGAATGAGTGCAAGAGTTTAATGTCTTAGATGAATTGGAATTCTTGGATAAATAAAAGTAAATTTCTTAGATAGCTGGAGGAGATTTCTGGATTTTTTTGGACTTCATGATTATTATATCTTCTTTTTGTTTCATGTAATAATGAAAGATGTCCCAAAGCCTGTTTTACTCACAGAAATTAAGAATCTTCTGTACTATTGAGGTATTGTTATTTTAATACTAATTGGAATTGTTGCAGTGTTAATGTAATTCCTAATTCTGCTGGCATTATTGTATACTTTTATTCCAAAAACTCATTTACAACTATTTCAAAAATGGGTTTTATTCTTTACAATTATTGATTTAATATTTCTGCTATGCAGCTCTTTCAGACATTTCAACTTTGTGCAAAAAAAATCTTCATTTCTGAATCTATAGTACACTAGCTCTATTAAAGATTTAAATCACTTACACTTGCATGTGTTTATGCATGGCATTATTGGTTCCTCATAGGTAATTGGTTGATCCAGACAATATTAGGTTTTCATATGCAAGACGTCTAAAATATAAACAGGTTTGATTGAACATTTGCCTGAATTTGTGTCTTAATGATATGGTTAAGCACATTGTTATTCTTAGCTGTCCAACCCAGATAGGTTACAGTATCAAAAGATTACAGTAGGGATTTTGGTAGCTAAGAATACGTTCAAATATATCTAGTAAATAAATTATTATCAAAGAAAGGATATTATTTCTAAAGATGAATCTCAGGCTATAGGTGCTGGAGAAATCAACTGTATCGAGAAACAACAACAAAGGTGTAGCAAAGCGCACATTTCAAAAACATTTGTTATGAAAATAAGGCTGGAAGGAACTTTGTGGTGCTTATTTGCAATTTGCAATTCCTAAGTAACATGCAGCAGGATTGACAGGAACATAATCTCTGTAGTTGTTCAACTTGAAAAAAATAAGAAGAGTGTGCAAAAAAAAATTATAATAAGGAAAAAGAGGAGGTAATTATAGTCCTGCAAGGATTAAATGCATCAATTCTGAAATAATATAGAGGGGGAAATTATGCATCTTGTCTTGGTCATATAAGAAGAAAAACATCCTTGGAATATTTGATTTTGTTTTAATAAACCGAACTGATAGCATATCAAAGAGGATAAAAATATTCCAATTAAATTTACTTTTAATTATATTTCTGCTTAGTACCCTCTTTGGTAATATTGACTGGATTCATGCAACACTTGAACCAATAAATAATCACATTTTATTCTTGCAAGTTGTGGTAAGTCTGCCCCTATAGTTCAATAGTGCAAATCCAGAATGTGGGATTAATTGAGCAAACCATGGTTAGCTTAATCATAGATAAAAACATGCCATGATAACAAAAATTACTAAGGAAAAAAAACCTATCTCCCCCTCTTTCTGCAATGATTGTGAAACCCAAACTAAGCAATAAAATGAGGGAATAATATTCCAAGGAATATATTAAAAATATATCACCTGTGCAAAATGTCATTTTATAAGTGGGGGGGGGCAATAAGAAATAAGCATTTGTTGAAGAGAGGCAAGAAAAAGAATAATTGTAAATGGGGGAAACTCAGTCTCCTGGTTTCTAGCTTGGTGCCTTAACCACTATACCAAACTGGCTATTCACTGGTAATAGTGAATAGAAATTCAAAACAATTACGACTACACTGACTATTTGCTATAAAACATCCATTTTGTTTTTTCTTAATAACTTTTGTCCAAAATTCTTTTGTTATATATTATAAACATTTCTATACTTCCCAGTTCCAATATTATTTTCAGTTTTGTGCAGTTTTATAACATAATGGAAGGGTGCAAAGTGGGAGAAATTCAACAAAATTCCTAATTTGAAATGAGAAATTTCTCATTTATATGACATGATTAAATTATGGCATTTTCTGGACTCCAGATAACTTTGTCATTACTTTAATCAGTACTGAATATAAATACATTGAAAATTTCTAATAACAGTATAAAATATAACATTTTAAAATAGAAGTTACATTATATAAAATGTAACTTTGTTTGAAATGGTTACTACTATATCATTAGTAGTATAGTAACCATTAGTTACTATACTACTATAAGTAACTAAGTAACTAATGGTTATTTATCTACAGAAAATAGATAATACCAGCCTTGGTTAGGGAATCCAAGACCCTTACTGAATCCAGAGAAGTATGAACAAAATATGATAGAGTGTAATTTCCATCCTATTGTGTTGCACATTAAACTTAAGCTAAGAAAAAGGATACATTTCTTGTATCTACAGTAACACATGTGCATAATTAAAGAGGTCTGTTCAGGTTTTTGGCAGCTCATAGAGCAGGCATGTCAAACTGCCGGCCCGTGGGCTGGGTGCGTCACGCCGAAACCACGCCCACCCATTGCCGGCAATGGGGAAAAAGTCGCGATATGTCGCGCAACTTCACGTGACATTGTGAGTTTGACATGCCTGTCATAGAGGAATGGATAAGGTACTATAGATAGTCCTTGATGTACGACCAAAATTGGGACCAGAATTTCTGTTGCTAAGCAAGGCAATTGTTAGACGAGTCACACCTGATTTTACAATCTTTTTGCCATGGTTATTAAGCAAATCATGTTAACTGAATCATCTGGTGGTTAAGTGAATGCAGCTTCTTCCCCCATGGGCTTTGCTTGTCGGAAGCCAGCTGGGCAGGTCGCAAGTGGCAATCATGTGTCCCCAGGATGCTGCAGCCCATTATAAATACATGCTGATTGCCAAGCACCTGGATTTTGATCATGTGACCCTGGGGATGCTTCAAGGGCTATAAATGTGAGGACCTGTTGTTAGTCACTTTTTTCAGTGCCCTTGTAATTTCAAACTGTCACCTAACGGGCACGTTGTAAGTTGAGGATAGCAAGTACAGTAAGCCAATTTTCCATGGCTACATCTCCTACGGATGATGCAAACAGTAACCTACTGAGTCTGAATAGCATCAGACTAATGGAGAATATGTAGGCAACATTTTCTTTAACATGAGCAGAAGATAAACATTAAATTAAACTTCTGGAAGACAATTAAGCAAAATGATTGGTTCATACCTATATTTCACTATTCCACATTTTTAATTTAAAGTATCTAATTTTACTCAGAAGATTTTAGGGATTCCTCCTTTATTTGTTAATAAAAATACAGGTTTCTTCAAAATGTGGTCCTCAAATACAATTCTATAAATAAATACCTATTTTTGTGAGTCAGATCAGAAAAGTGTTAAACATTAACACTGACTCAAGGTCAAACTACACGTTGTGCTTAAGAATGAATTTTATTGCACCAGTTTGTCCTATCCCCTAACCAAGTGTAGGAGTTTGATCTATGTTGGTACTTTGAGAAAGTAAGTTAACTCTTATGTCCTTTAATTATTATTATTGTGTCCTTTGCCATTTTTCCCATCAAAAATTCCATCAAACTATTTTCTTTCAAAAAATAGAATAGACTGAAAATTGAATATTTTGTGGATAAACAGCTTCTTTATGAGTATAATTCCCAATGAGAAAATAATACAAATAAGAAAATATTCAATAAATTCTATGCTGACATCTAAACCTAATTAGGGATTGTATAAGCCTTTTTTGCACATATGCTACACCAAGTATATTCAGAAATATGTGCTTAGTATAATATATATCCTATCCCTCAGTTACATTGAAATTTGTAGAATAGATTATAATTTGACCTAAATTTTCAATTTATCCAATTCTAGATCAGAACTGAATTTATTTGGAAATCCTACAATTATGAAAAATGAATTAAACTGAAGAGGACCTTCTTAAAAATAAAACTAAGACAATTTTACAGATTACCAGAATGACAGGACAGAAAGAATAAAAAAAATGAATGTGGAGAAAGTAGAGGAAAAAATCTTGCAGACACCTTTAATCATCAGAGATGAAAATGGCAACAGATGTGTGAGTAACACCATTGGATCTTTGAATGGAAGCACTGTTAGTCATCCTCACCAAGGAGTAGAACATGAAGGCTGTAAACTATTTAAAGATACAGCCGGGTTCAAAACTGTTGCTTCAGGTCCATGCATTGAAGAGCAAGACTTGCAAAAAGCTGCCAGTGATTATATTTGTATGGGGACTTCAGCCCTGAAGGCCACACATTACTCTTCTTCAAAGGAACAGTTTTACATGGATGCCATGAATCAGACTTTCCTGGAGTCAGAGAGTTGTGGCACAGAAAGCCTTGCAAAGGAACCTTTTCAGAATTGTAGTACTGGGAAATCAACATCTTATTGCCAGACAGATCTCATGAATTTAGTGCCCCTGGCCTCTAAGGAAAAGAGCACTATTGAAATCCAATATGCATTAGGAAGTGCCCAAATAGAACAGGAAGATGCTAATACAAATAAATCTTTAATTACAATGATAAATTTGGGGGATGCAATAAGTAAATGTTATGAGGTGGCAGGTATTCCTGTCTCTCCTGGGGAATTAGGTGAAACTTTCACCTGTGGATACCATTCTGACTCTCCTAATCTAGAAGTTTTCATCAATCAAAATGCACCAGATAAGTGTGTGCAATCTATTCCCCTTTCAATGGCAGGAGATGAGGTCACCAATTATATTGATTTAGTTTCGCAGAATAGTGAACAGTCTGAAAAGCAAGGACAGCAGGATGCTGGTTCTTACAGTAAGCAATTATCAGAACCAGAACAGTTCAATATATGCAAAGACAAACATAGGAAATATATGCATAGCACTCCTGAACAAGATGAAAATAAATGGCCGGCTGGGGCTAGTATAGATGATGGCATAAATGGTGTTTGCTGTTTAGCCATTGAAAGCTTTGATGAGCATTCTGAACAGGAACTTTGTGAAGATGAAGTGCATATGACCAAAGTCCAGAATTTTTTTAAAGAAAATGAGGCTTTTCTGAAGGGACCTAGTGAAATATCTGAGCAAATACAAAATGATACACCAAAGCCAGAAAGAGTTGCTCTGTCTGAGCACAACTGCCAAGCAACTTTTGTTGTTTATAGCTCACCAGCCAATGAACATACTTTGACTTCTCCTCCTACTGTGGGGTCAAAAAATGCAACTTTTGCTGTAGTTTCCATGCCAGATGAACCTGGTGATGGTTCTAAACCTGGAAAGAATACTCCCTTGGTAAAAGATAACCCCAGGAGCCTTTCACTTAAAAATAATTCTGAACAAATTATAGTAAAATCAACAAAGAGATCTCCTCTTACAGCTACTATAACTAAAGCCAGGAAAGCAGAAATTGTGAGCTTTCCAAAACCAAATTTTAAAAACATTAAGCCAAAAGTTGTCTCCAGGTCTGTATCACAATCTAAGGACAGTGTTGTTCTAAAAATAAGTCCAAGATCTCCTCAACTATCTAATGCTTCCTCCTCCTCCTTGTCTTCCTCGCCAAAGCAACCATATTTGTTTGCAGCATTGAGGAAAAAAAAGGACTTGGATAAAGGTACCAAAGTAGAAACACCGATGAATAAGACTCATAAGCAACATTTTAATAAACAGCTTCCTAGCCAAGGTGTGCATGCTCCAACTTATTCTGAAAATATTTCTCAGAAGATTCCAAAACCAGTGTTAAAGCAGAATGTGGATCAGGCTGAGAGATCAAAGCATCTTACTCCAGAATGCTTCCCTATGGCTCTAACGAGCTCCCAGAATTATGGTGGGCCACCAAGTGATGGGATGGATAATGCAGAAACTTTGATTCAGCCTTGGGCTGTGAGTAGCTGCCAGAGAGCTCAAGAAAACAAGCATTCAAGTGACTGTATGGGGATTCCAAGTGAGACATCTACCCAAGAAGTTACAAACAATGGCCATGGACTAGTGCAGTTTTGTTCGGTAAGTTTATGTGTGTATTATGTATCATATGTATGTATTCTTAATCTGATCTTCAAGCCATGTTTTTCACTGATTGCATGTTCCTGAACTGAAAACCACTTTATTTCTGAGGTTATGATGGGTGTCACCTTGATTTTATAGGCAGAAAGGGGAAAACCATATTTTCACCTAAATAGTATTTATTATATTGCTCATGCTGATTTAGCTTTTTTAATATATATTTTTATTGAATGGCTTTACATAGTTAAAAGAGAAACAAGAACAAACATGTAAAAAAGATAAAAGTATTAGAATCAGATAGAGAGAAAGAGTTAAAAAAAGCAGCTTCCATTCTGTATAGAAGTTGCTAAATTTTTATTATTTCTCCCTCTTTAAAACTGTGTTATATATATTTCCCAACTTCCCATATTCAGTCCATTATAGTTGACAAACCCAGAAATCACTAGTTCATTTTTATCCATTCAGCAAAAAGATCATAAAAGCTTTCCAGACTTATATAAAAAATGTATAGAATTTATTTTATAAAAAATATGAATCTTTCTGGATATTTTTTAAAAAATTTGTTGTCTCATATGTATTGTTTTCACTTTTTACACATGTTTACCATGCAATGTTGATTTGTAACTTAATAGTTACAAACTACATATGGTTAGCTGCTGCCTGTTTGTACTTTAAACACTGAAGAGAAATGCTAACACAAAACTCACAGATTAGTTGGCATGTTTTCCTTGAAGCATAGCCTTTCTTTTATTTATTTTTATTGAGCCTTATGCTGCAAAATTACATCTGATTAAAGATTTGATATGTCCATCCACTACAAGTCTAATACAAAAGAGCTAGTTTGTTTATAATTTGAATCTAATCTAATCATCTAATCTTATTGTAATCTATCTATGGCTTATTTTAGGTTGCTTTAAGAATGCAATTAATACAACATAATACTGCAAAATAGCACTTCTTAGCTTTTAGTTCAGCATTAATTAACACCATTTCATATTTTGCAAATCCCTTTGCCCTGAAACAACAAAAATGATGAGTAAATAATCTGGCATTATCAAACCAAACTAACAATTTGGTTAATATGCAGCCATCTATGTTTTGCAATGAGAATTTTTAGCAAGCTTCCAGCAAACATGCTGATGCTAGTTAAAAAGTAGGTGGATGAGTCTGTCTTAAATATTGGTATAAAATTGAGTGCTAGTATTACAAACTTAATATTGGTATTTAATAACATTTAAAATGTATATATGCACATTCACAATATAGATTCCCAGCAAGGGTTACCCCAGCACACACTGATTGCTTCTACTCTGAATGCTTTTGGGGTCTCATAGGAGAAACTGTTCTTTCACTCCAACAATATTCAGGGACATTTTTGGCACATCAGGGAAAAGTCTTGGTGCTTACCACAAAGAGTTAACTACAACATTAAATGATTTTGCAACAGACACTTATCTTTTCATACTCCAAACACACACAATTAAATGCCAGAAATAGTGCTACACTCTTAAGACTGTAGTTGCCGTCTCTGCTTAATCAAGAATGCATAGATAACTATCATTAACAAAAAGTATGTATCTATAGTATGGAAAATTTGAGACAGACCTTACTAGCACATATAATCAATTGAATGATTCTTCATTAGCAGTGGTTACTTTGTGCTCTGCATTAAAATAAAAGTAAGAATATACATGTTTCTACATTTATTCTCCCTATCTCTTTGTTTTTTCCATATGGTATTAAATCATACAGGTTTCTTTGTCTAAAACAAACACAGCACAAGGACAAGGTTTTCCTAAAGGCAGCCCTGTTCCTGTAAGGAATGCACCGCCATCTAAAATCTCATTCCATTCTAGGAGAGGAAGTGAAAATAAAAATACTCATGTGACCAAACTTTCATCTCCTCAAAGACACATTTTACCATCAAACTCTGGTAAGAAACATTTTTGTCTATTATTGTTCTTGTGCAGAATGTATGACAACTTAGGGTTTCAATTAATAGAAGTTTGAAAAATATTTTCACTAAAAGTTAATTGAATGTCAGTATGTTCCCTAAAAACCGCATCCTAAGTTAATGATCTAGTTGCAATTGTGTGTAGTCTGAAGTGTTTGGATATAAATTCTATAATATCACATTGTACTTAAGCCATTATATTTTTAATCATTGTTAGAACAAGTCATAAGCTGTCATATCCTGTTATGGTTGAGTTTACTGTGTTGTCTCAGTCGGGATATGATTCCAGATTAGGTCAGAGAATAGAAAAGAAAGCATGCAAACACTGTTGACCAAACCCCTGGCGTTTATGTCAGTTATTCATAGTTTGATTTATCTTGCTTTTACTCTTAGAATAAATTGAGGTTGGAAGTTTTAACTCTGTCCCAGGAATCACAGTTGCGTTGTTACAATTGATTACGTTAGGAGCAATAGAACTGTCCCTTTCTAGAGTCAGGTTGCTGATGTTCTTCTGTAACTATGCTACCTGAGAAAAAAATTAAATTAAAACCTCTCCACTTGTACCCTGCTGGGAAAATCTAAGGCTCTATTTTTTAAAAGTTAAATAAAAACCCATGTTAAATGTATGGACTAATTTCGTTGCTAGGAAGGTGTATTGTTCAGGAGATTTAATGTTTATTGTGGGAGCAAGTAATACAAAATAAATGTTATTGAAAGGTTGATAGTGGGAAATAAATCTTCTTTATTTAGGTCTGGAGACTAAGCTAGACCTTGATATTAAGTTACTTAAATGATTTTTTTTTTGATAAACCAGCAACTCTCAATTTTCATGATCAATAGAACTTGGTTATCTGTAATTCTGAATTTCTCTGAAAGTAACATAGTATCAACTGTCCTGATTATATTGTATATTTAATTTTACTGTGGGTTTTTTTCTTATTTGATAATATCAACAAACATTGATCAACAGGTGTTAAGATCTAGCTGGGAAGTAATGGTTAGTCCAGCTGATGATCTCTGAGAAAATGGTTTGAAGCTGGCTTCCCTGCAGATATGAACAACAGACTATCTCAGCATATCAAGATGGTACTTCATAATTTTGTGTGGGTGCTTGAAATCTGAGCCAGGACAATCTAGTGGGAAGACTATCATCTAAGATATGCCCAAATTAAAAGTTCACAAAGTAATTTTTTAGTACTTTGGGCTGTTGCGTCTTTGACCTTAATAGGAACATTAAGGAGACAGGTAAAGGTATTTGTGATGATAACTCAAATAAGCAGGGGATCGTGAACCGAAATGAAGAACTTGTTTTCGACAGGGAGAAGTGCGAATCAGGTATTACACATCAGTCATGCAAGAAGAGAAAGGCATCCAAAAAGAGAAGCCACCTTCTGGTTGGTTATTCAATTATAAGGGATGTAAATTTAGGAAAGGACACAGAGGTTTCAAAAGAGGTCAGGTGTCTCCCAGGTGCTACTGCCAGTAGGGACAAGAACCGTATTTCTAAAATAATCAAGAATGCCAGCAAGGACTGTGATGTGGAGGCTATTGTACATCTTGGCACTAACGATCTGTCCCAAAAAGATGTACTCTCTGTGCAGAATGATTTCCAGAGCTTGGGGCAGGAACTTAGCAGAATAGGCTGTAGGCTTACTTTTTCAGAGGTTTTACCAGTGTATAAGAAGCAAAATGGAAAAGGCCAGCATATAGCACAATTCAATAGGTGGCTAAAGGAGTGGTGTAAAGGGGAAGGCTTTAGATATATCAGTCACGATGTCAGTAACTGGTCCAATGAAAAAATATGTACAAAAGAGATGGTTTGCATCCATCAAAGAAAGGGACTGAGTTACTCGGCTATAAATTCACAGATTTTCTGGAGGAATATTTAAACTAAACAGCGGGGACAGTGAGTTAATTGATACAGAACATCCCTGTCTAAAAACTATAGGGCTATCAGTGCATGTAACATAGATGTGTGTGTGGACAAGAACATCAACCTTGCTGTCAAGCAAAATCAAGCTTTTAATAGCGAGTTCCACACAAAGTGCACTAACCAAATAGGTGGTAAGACAATAGGGGAACTCAGGCACTACACAGGTTATGTAGAAAGTAAACACAGGGTCAGTCATAAAGGACTCAAATATGTACACACCAATGCACAGAGTATGAACAGCAAACAGGGTGAACTAGAAATTCAAATTAATGACGGCAGATATGATATTGTTGCCATTACGGAAACATGGTGGGATGAAACCCACAAATGGAACACACAGCTAGAGGGATTTAAATTATTTAAAAGAAACAGATCAAATAAGGTGGAGGTAGAATTGTTCTCTATATAAGAAATAACTACATCTCTATAGAAATAGAGCACAACAATGATGAAAACTGTCTTGAATGCATTTGGCTCAATATAAAAAGGGGTGGAAATGACATTGCCATTGGTGTATACCAGTGGTGGCAAACCTATGGCACAGGTGCCAGAGGCGGCACTGAGTGCTCTCTCTGTGGGCACGCGCACCGTCGCCGCAGTCCTAGGCCTTCAGCTGGGTTTCATAAAACCTTTTTGCTTTAGGCCTCCGCTGCCATGTGCAAAAAAAAAAAAAGTTTCAATCAGTCAATTTCAACTTCTCATGGAAAAAAAAAGATCTTCCAAAGTTGGAATTGATTGATTGAACTTTTTAGTCCCACCCAGTCTGCCGTTACCACCGCAGCCACACTCACTCAATTGGCCATGCCCACCCAATTGGCCACACCCAGCCAATGGGCCACACCCACCCGGCACTTGACGATGCATAAGTGGGTTTTGGGTTGCAGTTTGGGCACTCAGTCTCTAAAAGGTTCGCCATCACTGGTGTATTCTATAGGCCACCCAACCAAACAGAGGAAATGGAACTTTTTGCTAGTCAGCTAACTAAGGTATGTAGGAAGCACATCATAATAGTAATGGGGGACTTTAACTACCCTGACATCAACTGGGAGACAAACTCTGCACCAAGCAGAATATCAAACAGATTCCTGACAAACCTAGCAGACAACTTTGTCTCCCCAAAAGTAGAGAAGGGAACTAGGGGATTAGCCATTTTGGATCTAATTCTCACTAGCAGAGATGAAATGATAGAAGGTGTTGAAGCCACAGGAACCTTGGGAGGTAATGATCATGCAATATTGGAATTCAACATTATGGAAGCACAAGCAATAGAACACAAACTAGAGTCTTGGACTTCAAGAGAGCTAATTTCAATAAACTTAGAGAGGGCTTGGGAAGGATTCCATGGATGAGAATCCTCAAGGGGAAAACAACTCAAGAAGCTTGGAAAATTTTGAAAAGTGAGATAATAAAAGCCCAGTCTAGCACAGTACCAACAAAGAGGAAAAATAACAGCTCTCAAAAGAAACCAGCATGGCTGCATAAAGAACTCTCTGATAAATTGAAAGATAAAAAGGACAAGTATAGAAAGTGGAAAGAGGGGCACATAACTAAGTCAGAATATCAGCAAATAGCCCGAGCCTGCAAAGATGAAGTGAGGAAAGCTAAGGCTCATAATGAACTAAGGCTTGCGACCAAAGTCAAAAATAACAAAAAAAGCTTTTTTCAACATGTAAAAAACAAGAAAAAGTGAAGGAAATGATTGGTCCATTAGTGGGTGAAAGTGGCAAGAAGGTGACAAGCAGAACTATTTAACTCGTTTTTTGCATCTGTCTTTACACAAAGGGAAAAAACAGACCAACCTATTAAAAATAGTGCCATAAAAAACAGAATAAGATAGGCAAGAAAATGGTAAGTGAGCACCTGTCCAGCCTAGACGAGGTCAAATCAACAGGACCAGATGGATTACACCCCAAGGTTGTCAACGAACTGGCAGATGTGATCTCAGAACCACTGAACTATATTTTTCAAAGATCCTGGAGCACTGGGGAACTACCAGAGGACTTGAAAAGAGCTGATGTAGTTCCCCATCTTCAAAAAAGGAAACAAAATGGACCCAGGAAATTACAGACCTATCAGCCTGACCTCAATACCTGGGAAGATTCTGGAAAAGATAATCAAACAACGAATCAGCGAACACCTAGAGGCAAACAGTCATTACTAAAAGCCAACATGGGTTTGTCAAAAACAGATCATGCCAGACAAATCTTATTGCATTCTTTGACCAAGTGACAAAATTAGTGGATCAGAGGAATGCTGTGGATATAGTTTACTTGGACTTCAGTAAGGCATTTGATAAAGTAGATCACAACCTACTATTCGATAAGATAGAAAAATGTGGGTTAGACAGCATCACCACCAGATGGATTCATAGCTGGCTGACCAGCCGTACTCAGCATGTGGTCCTCAACGGAACCGCATCTACATGGAGGGATGTATATAGTGGTGTCCCAGGGCTCTGTTCTGGGCCCAATGCTCTTCAACATCTTCATCAACGATTTGGACGAGGGGATAGATGGGGAACTCATCAAATTTGCAGACGACACCAAGCTGGCAGGAATAGCCAACACTCCAGAAGACAGGCTTAAGATACAGGAGGATCTGGACAGACTTGAACACTGGGCGCTATCTTAACAAAATGAAATTCAATGGTGAAAAAAGTAAGGTTCTACATTTAGGTAAGAAAAACCAAAGGTACAGGTATAATATAGGGGGTACCTTGCTCAATAGTAGTAAGTGTGAGAGGGACCTCGGAGTCCTAGTGGACAATCACTTAAATATGAGCCAGCAGTGTGCTGCAGCTGCCAAAAAGCCAACACAGTGCTAGGCTGCATTAACAGAGGGATAGAATCAAGATCACGTGAAGTATTAATACCACTTTACAATGCCTTGGTAAGGCCACACTTGGAATCCAGTTTTGGTCACCAAGATGTAAAAAAGATGTTGAGACTCTAGAAAGAGTACAGAGAAGAGCAACAAAGATGATTAGACTGGAGGCTAAAACATATAAGGAACGGTTGCTGGAATTGGGTATGTCTAGTTTAATGAA